GGGGATGTGAGCAAGATGGTAGTCGGTAATTGATTACACAAAATTGACTACATAATAGAAAAAATACTGCAAGAAATAGGTAAATTTGAAATAGGAACAAGGATAGAATCGGATCACTAACCGATGCAATTGGGGATAAAGGGGAAGATAAGAAGATCGAGAAATAACAGGACGCACAGACGAAGGAAATACACAGGAGACACACGGTCCAGTTGTATAGAGACTAGAGGAAATACACGGGAATACAGAAGAGTAGTGGATAAGGAGGATATTACAAAAGCGAAACGTGGAATCAAATAAGTGAAGGGGAGTGGAGAGAAAAAAGGAGCAAATTGTGGGACAAAGAGCGTACGGAAAAGAGAAATAAATATAGAATGATGGGGAAAGTAAGAAGAGAGGAAATAGAGGAGAAAGAAGTGAGAGAACAGTAAAGTACTAAAGGAAACGTAAAGAAAAAGTTCACAGATTTCGTAATCCATGCAACTATCGTCATCGGAGAGATTGGAAATGATATCCGTAAACGCCATATCTAAAACACTAATTACCCTTATTCACGCTAATAACATACCGATCACGGCCGAGTACGATACACTCGTCACTTGATGCGACACCGGTGTCTTTTGGCCTTGAACAAAACGCATACCTTTGTACCCACATACGAAAACATAAACATTTCAAAAGTTAATGTCGAAATAGAAAGAATACGCACAGCAAATCGGAGAAATATAACAAGATACGAAGAATCTCATACGATTTTTAGTAGGGGATTTGTTTTCCACTCAGCTCGTATGCGGAAATCAGACTTTTGATCCGGCTCATATTCAATAGCACTGGCCCTTGAACTCGTAGAAATCGATCGGTGAAGGTTTAACATCGCTATCTCTTTTCGTTCTCGAGTTAGAAGAGGAACAGACAGGCCGGCCGATGGTTCCCATATACGAAAACAAACATTTCAAATGTTAATGTCGAAATAGAAGGAATACGCAGAGCAAATCGGAGAAATATAACAAGATACGAAGCATCACATACGATTTTCAATAAGAATGAAAGAAAGGTGTAATTGTGGCGATCTTCAAAAGAGACAACAAAGAATGTGTGAGAAATTACTATAATTAGTACAGCGTAAGTATATAGAATCTATGCAATGGTACTGAACGAAAGACTAGAAAGCGAAATGGAAGAGAAGAGAATCTTGGAGAAAAGATCGACCGCATAGGTGTATTAGAGGACAGAATCAAGGAACTATCTGGAGAGACAATATTAAGAGTAAGAATAAATTGACGGAAAGAGGTCTTAAGTGTTTTAGACATTAAAGGACAAGGACAAGGATGCTCAGGCTCACGTAGCCCAACCTTATTTAACTTCTACTTCAGAGACATGGAAAAGGTATCATGCCAGGGCCAAGGTGGAGTGATAGTAATGGGAAGAAGAACGCACTGATCATGGCACCAGAGGTAGAACAGATCAAACAAATGGTGGGTAGAATGGAAAGAAAAGAAATGTACAAAAGTCGAAGATGAGATTTGAGAAGGAGGGTGGAAGGCAAAAGGAGAATGGAAATGAGAGAGAGAATGAAGAGAAGCGAGGTAAAAGAAATTGAATACTTAGGATAGTAAGGGGTAATAGTGAAAGCGGATTGGAGAAAGAATGCTTGACAACGAGGATGAACGCAACAGGAATCTGGGAAGAACACAATGGAAAATATTACGAAAGAAATGAATACGGGCGCGTTGAGTTCTAAAGGAGGAGAGGAATAGGAGAAAATGAGCTGGAAAGAAGGATCTGGATGCACAAATACATCACCAGAGGGTAAAGATAGCGGGCGCTTCGGAAGAGTAAGTAGTTATAAAGATCAAATAAGGGCGAGATGGGTACCAAAATACCTGTGGGAAGGAAGAAAAAATATTAAAACAATAGCGACATTCAGATGCGGAAATGAAGAGAGAGGGAAAGAGAAATGGAGACAAGAAGAAGAATGAAAATATAGAATACGCCGAGTGGAAGAAGAGGATATAGAACACATGTTATGGAACTGTACGAAGGTGGAAATGACAGGGAGACGTAGGGGCGCGGTGCTGGGCGAGGGGTGAGGAGATGAAAAGTGAGTGACTTGGATTTAAAACAAAAGAATTCTAGTTATAGGAGAAATGGATACGGACGGGCTGAGGTCTAAAGGAGAAGAGGAATAGGAGAAAATGAGCTGGAGAAAAAGGATCGCTGGAGGCACATATACATGACTAGAGGGTAAAGATAGAGAGCGCACGCGGAAGAGTAGTTATAAAGATCGAATACCAAAATATTTGCGGGAAGGAAGAAAATATATTAAAACAATAGCGAGATTCAGATGCGGAAATGAAGAGAGAGGGATAGAGAAATGGAAACAAGAAGAAGAAAGAAAATGTAGAATACGAGGAGTGAAAGAAGAGGACATAGAACACACGTTATGGAACTGTACGGTGATGGAAATTACAGGGAGAAGTAGGGGTGTGGTACTGGGCGAGGGGTGAGGACGTGAAAAGTGGAGAGCTTGAATTTAAAACAAAAGAATTTTAGTTATAGGTTGTAGTTATAAGTTGAGTTGTAAAAAGTTTTGGCAAGCTGGCGTCTAATATAAAGATTTATTAATTGAAGATATTAAATCATTTAAGCAATAAAATTTAGGCTGAGCCGACCGCCCGGAACCGAACCTCATAAACGGCATGAGCGCTACTTTTTGTTTTACAAGTGCACAAAAATGAGCTAAAACATTTGGGCATTGCGAGGGTAAACGTTTGAAGATTGAAAATTAATAATTTTATTACCTAACACAAACGGGAATAATACGGTAGGTAAATGTTTTCTGGAGTGGAAAAGTACAAAACTAGGATTATAAATATGTAACCACTGTTTATTAATGAATAAACAATTATGTTTATTTGGGGGCTAGGAGCTTAGTTCTGAGGGCCTGCCCCAAAACACTGTTCAACAACCATAGATTTTCATCGATGCAACAAGGAAATTACACTAATGACACTAATTATTAAGCAATAAAATTAATTAAACCCATAAATTCTCATAAATGATGATGCGATGGGGTTTTAATAGTATATTAAGATACAAGTGTATAATCAAGTCTTTAAAGCACGCGCAACGAGTTTAAGGGCACGACGCATAGCGGAGTGCCTTTAACGTTGCAAGTGCTTCAAAGACCAATTATACACGTGTATCTTATAGTATTTTTTATTATACCTGCAGTATAATTTAAAAATAGGAAATACAATGAAGTCATATTGACGTTATACTCAATACATGTTTAATTAAGTGGGCTGGGTGTTCGAAGTTTCACGATTGCCATGGAAATGTCACTTGACGTTTGCTTATAATTATCATCATCTTTGTAAATAAAACGATTTCCGTTGAAAAAGATAATACATCGTCCATTAAATCGCTTGTAAAATCTAAACAAACGTTGGTAGGTGTAAAATCCAAATCCAGTAAAGCCTATTATAAAGAATATGAAAAGTTGTTTTCATGGACGAATAGGAAGTTACTTATGAATACAGTCTTAAATGCATTCATAATGCTGACATATATGAAGGAAATGTCAAAGGTATTTAAATCTTCTATATTTTAGTGCATTCATTCAAAACTTTAAAACAATGTTGCGATTAGAAAGTGGAACAGATTTGGAAGCATACTCTAAATTACGCGCGTTTGTGAAAGCTTCAACCAAAGGATAGGTACAAAAGCCAAAGAAATGTTCTGCATTTACAGAAAGCGACCTAAGAGGATTTTTTTATTTCATCCAGATGACAGTTTCAAAAGTCATACTTGAAGTATCGTTACTTAGCAACTTAGCAACTTTAAAGCACGTGTGTTTTAAAGGCCCTTTTTCGCACGCATTTGAGTGTTTAAAACGGAGATTGTGATTCAGGTATAATAAAAAATACATTTTTTCATTTTTTGTTAGTGTCATTTTTATGGACAGTCCCATGACGGCTAATCATTTATGCACGTCAATATGAGGCAGGAAAACGACATTAATTATAAGTATACATTGGTAATATAGTTTAACATTTCGTGGTTGTACTATGTGTAAATAAAATGGTATTTTAAATGAATAAACAAAGGTAGAATCGAATTAATCCTTCAATCGTAGTGGCGACATCTTCGTGTACAAGCAATAAATGTTCCGTTACTGCGTGAAACTACCTACAACGACGTTATATGAAGTGATGGTCAGATGGAACCACATACCTCGATACTTGAAACTTTTTGCTCTGGCTCTGAGGTATACTATATAAATAGAAGGATAAGGTAGGTAAGTATTTAGACAACCACGTGTTAGTTTGTGATATTCAACTGCAGCTGATAGTTTTTTTATAACCTTTGAGACATTTTCGTGAAAAATTAAAGGTAATTTATATACTGAAAGACCAATACAGTGCCCTTTTTACATCCTGCGACGCGAATTGCAATAGTGTAAGTTTCTGCCATCTTTAATTTAACGTTTGAATTGGCACTTGACAGGGGGAAGTACTCGTCTATGTTTGAGGGAAAAAATTTAAATGTGTGAGAATAAGCATTCCTTTATGATCGCGTGTTTAATTTTTTTGCTTGTTTGCAATGAGGAATAATATGACCTTGTGTTGGGATTCCGCGTTGTATACAAAAAATATGTTGCTTGTTAACAGGACCGGGCTGAAATGTTTTGTTGCCGTGAAAACTGTACAGTACAGTACACGAGACAGTACACTTACTTATTTTGTATTGCACAGTGGCAACATTACTATAAGTACCTATTTTTAAACGAAAATCAATCAATTAAGTTTTGCAGATTCTTTAATACTGAGTAATAACTAATAAGTAAATAATTTGTGATTTGCGGTAAGAATTATCCTTATACGATACTAATCTATACCTTGATACTTATTAAAGGTTTTAACTTTTAAGTACGTATTATCTTTATTTAAATGCATGTCGAACCATCAATAATTCCTATACATTTTATCTTTACATACCTATTTTTGTACTTGGATATGAATACAAACCGATAAAATATTACCACACTAATTTTATGCACTGACATACAGTGACAACATGGCACTGATCACCATCTTACAGATCCGGGCTGCTTTATTAGGGCCTACCGGCCAACAAACCTTGCTATTTCTTCGTGCATCTTCGTAATTTAACAATTTTTTATTGACATTTTCCGAAAACGCATCTTTATGAGCTAATTACAAAAAAAATATGTATCCATTCCAAATGTGGTCATGTTTATCTTAAACTGGAACATACGATTTTGCATGCAATGTTATTTCCTTAGACTATGAAAGAGAGGGGACCCGTAATAGAGAGCGCGCGCGTGAAACAAATTGCGATCATACTGCCACCACCAGTGGCGCCCGCTCGGGTATTACATTAGGAAATTACAATTTATTTATACTGCCATCATGATATGATTAACCTGTGCGTACAGTTGTCGGACATAATATTAGGTGCTTATCTGAATAGAGAGACAAAAAACGCGATAAACGTAAACATACGACTGGACTTTCGTTTCAGAAACTGGGTTCGCGATATAAGCGCAATGTTATTGAAAGTAAAGGGTTTTTCCGAGGGTTTTTCATTAAGAGTGCTCGAACTTTGAAATGAAATAAAACAACCTGTTTAAGTGATATTACCACAAGTTTTATAATATTTTAAATATAATATTCGATGACATTATTTATGAAAAATAATTTCAGTGAAATGGCCCCCGCGACTCCGCTGTGGACGTTGCATTGTGGTGGACCAATTTTGGACATGCTCGCTTAAACTGGGCTGAATTTCACGAAGAAAGCGAGTTATACTGGTCTTTAGGGCAGCAATTGACTGTGGTTGGTCTGCATAGACTAGGGAACTGAAAACCCAAGTCTCGGCGCAAAATCCTCCAAGTTAACGTCCCAGAAAGACCCATCTCTTGCGCACTCTGCAGAATGGGCTGCCTGGGGTTTTCTCGCACACTATTCCGAACGGCAATAATATTCTCCAACGATCTTGCGTTTCTTTGATGTACAGGAACTGCTTCATCAATCACTGACCCCGTTGTCTCAAATTTTTTATTAAACAACGGATTGTGGACTCTGCAGGATGTCCATGAAAGCCATAAATTGGACGCACCGCACGGAACGTTAAGCGAACGGAGCCCTGATTTCGATAATCAATTGTAACCATTTCTACGCAGCGTTTTTAAAATACTAATACACAACCTCACTCTTTCGTACATTAATTTGTCATTCCTGACCACTACTATATACTTAACATCGTTAAAAAAATGTTGTATTCATTTCACTTCATCAATGAAGCTCGGCCTGAAGATGACCAGTTAGGTCGAAATCGATAGCCGCATAAGACAAACACAAAACGTGTCTAAAAAGAATTTCTTTAAACCCCTTCCTCAGTTAGTAAGTAATAAGCTGTTGATACTATAGCAAACCGTTGACGATGACGACTGTGATAATATTGAATTGAGATGTCTTCTCCCCTAACGGGTTTAATCATAACGATCTTCCTTCAGTATATCTTGTGTTTATCGAATGTGGCTGCGATCGATGTGTATTGCTTCGAACATCGATCGATGACCTCTCTCTTTTGAAGACCAAATCCTATCTGTCGTACTACATGTAAGTACAAAGGCAACATACACTGTAGTTAAACTGCTCCATACAAAGTAATCAGTCGCCTAAGGGTTAGGCATCCAAACATGTACATATCTGTTACGTCATGTAACTAGATAGTCACGCCGTCACTGGAATATCACTTGCAGGTTATATCACTTGCTTAGTAATCGAGAAATTATCAATGAAAAGAAGTATAAAGCAGTATTTTATTGATGCACAAAAATATAGGACAATTGTAAGATTATGAAAATGAAGACCTTAAAAGTGTTTTATTAACTACCATGAAGATTTAATTAAATTTAGTCAAACCAGACAACGTGCCGTTTTTTATCTTGCCTATTAAATGATATTGCTGCTGGACAATGACCACTGCAACTTTTACAGTTGTACGCAGAGCAAGTCACCACGTTTATATCACACAGTTTTGCACACACAAACATTATCAATAATGAAGAAATGTCAAAAAATTCACACTGCCACCGCGCTTTGAGTGCCACCGAAAATATGGCGGTCGTCTCGAAATTCGCGTCAAATTCACGCATGCTGTGGATGCGGTATTAAGGGTCCCCTCTCTTTCCTTGTCTAAGGTTATTTCCCCATGTTCCATTTAAAAAAAAAACGCCTCCACCCATAGGAGTAGTTCAAATAGGGAGTAGGTGCAATGTACAACTGTCATCTTCAAATCTACCGTCTGCAAACAATTTTCAAAAATGCTCTAAAGAGATGAAAATTGAAATTATAAATTTATACAAAGGTCACAACAGTGCAAGACAAGTCCGCGATTTACTTGCATACGTACTTCACAGTTGTACAACAAATAAATCATGCATTTTACAATTTAGAACTTTAATCTAATACAAAAGAATCATATGCTCAAAAGTAGCCAGCTCAAATAGATTTAAAAGTCACTCCACTCCTTTCCCATTTGTAAAAAATAGCATTCCGAAGTCTTTTTAAATAAAGTAAGTAAGTACATGAATTGCTTTGTATCTGAAGGTCCTGGACACGGTGACCTTAGACTAAAGTTGTATTTCCAGATAAATGCCGCTAAGTAATTTTAACACTCAGGCATTTACCTCTGCACGGACGAAGACATTTAAAAAAGACAGATTCATACACAAATAATTGAAGTCGGTGATCACACTAAATCAGTTTAAACATAGAAGGATCATTAACAACTGGCCAAACTCAATCAAATCGAAATAAAGATAACATTTAAAGTGAAACAAAGTAATTCAAGGGTTACCTATCGCCAGTTACAAGTTCCTGAAAGCAATATATTCACAAAAAAAAACGAAGAATTACAAGTAAAGTTAAGTACATTACCTTTGGTTATGGCACAAATATTGTACAAAACTTGGCAATTATAGTTCGAACTAAAATTGATCAATTCCCGAAGCTTTCACAAGGAATTTTTGCAGCCAGCCCTAACCATCCAGTTTTTAGAAAGTCAGAGTCGAGTTGCGTCAGAAGATCGATATGAGCGTGTGATCTTTGTTAAAGAATCCGAATCTTCTGAGGTGTATTTCTAGTGTGGATGTCATTAGAAATCCAAGTTGTTAAATTAAGCTTAAGGGAATGGGCTGGTGACTCGCACATTATCCAATACGTGTGTATAGTTGTGAACCGCACAATACCGTCAAATATGTGGTTTCTTACCTAAAATAATAGGTAATCAATTCTAATTACAAATGAGTCCTGTCACGGATTAAGTTCAAATCGTTTTTTATTTTCTTTTTTCCTGTCAAAAATCACAATTTTATTATCTGACCTTTTTACAAAACAAAACTCATCGCACTTTAACAACAATCAACTCATCCTTTTTTTAAACATGCACAACACACTTTCCAACATACTCCCACCCAAGAAATCTTATTTTCTTGATCAAAGGTAACGACTTGGTCTACGTATAACCCGTCCTCTTCGATCAATAACATCTGTATTTTCCGATGCATGTCAAAAAGAAAATAAAAAAACGATTTGAACTTAATCCGTGACAGGACTCATTTGTAATTAGAATTGATTACCTATTATTTTAGGTAAGAAACCACATATTTGGCGAAGATTTTTCTTTTGGTGCCCAAAAACTATGTCAGGTGATAATGAAAATTTGTGTAGTTAATTCTTTGGAATTTTAGGAAACTGATGGAGTTTCTCCAATTAATTATTTAAAGGCAACATTGAGTTTTTTCATTGTGACAGGAGCCGGACGTTACGAAGAAAATAATTACAATTCTAATTTAAAGGTTGTTTTGTTTTGAGCACACAGCAATATAGCAAACACCCACCAAACACCCATAAAAGCTTATACAGAGTTGAAAAGGCTTATAAACGCCCTTTAAGGCGCAATTCTGAACACTATTCAGGCATATTAAAGATTTTTAAAGATTCTCGAGGGCTCTTGGAGTCTACGGAAAACTTGTGGACACTTATAAACACTCAGGAAGGATTTGAAAGACTCTAAGCCCTTTATAGATTCTAGAAGGATTTTGAAAGCCTTTGGAACTCTTAGTAACACTTAAAAGTTCTTCGACATTTTTAATTACATGCACTTGGTAACGTTTAAACTTCGTACATAGCTCTTCTTAACAGCTCCTAACGACGAGGCTGTTAGAGGTTTCTTTAGAGGTCACTAGAAAGTCGTGGCGACCATTGAAGACTCTTGGAGAGAAAACATTTTCCATGGCGCTCGCGAAAACTCGTAGTTTCTTTTTCTTAAAGGCTTATATGGTTTCGTGAAGTCTCTGAAAGACTATTTAAAGGCTTTTGAGTGCTTTTGCAAATTCTAAAGTGTTACGGACACTCCAAAAGGATAATCTCGATGACTCTTGAGGTTTTTTAAAATCTTCACGCCTTTGCTACAAGCCACTAGACAGCTCTTAGAAACTCGTGAAGGTTCTGATTACATTTAAAGATTCTTATTTCCTGAATTAAATCTCTGGAAAATTCTATCCGAGCATGGAACCCATTTACATGATAATAAACGCTTGTCTTTAGAGGCCTCTAGAAAGTTTTTATAGCCTCCCGGAGATTTGCAAACTAAGCAAAACTCTTGAAGGAGCTGGAACCTCACAGGAGAAATACACCTAAACATTCTTATTGTGTTGTAACTCTTCCAGTAAGGTATGTGAGAATTTTTTTAAAAGACACATTTTGTGAGGTTTCACGATCTATAGTTTTGAAAACGCAGTTGTTCCTTAGGTTATTAACTCGTATAAGTTACCTTTTTTACTTTGTCTATATAAATATGTATAATGTGGCAAATAAATAATGTGGCATTGGTACCACCAAAACTTAATTGGGTATAATTACGATAAGATAAATTGAGACCGTTGTGCCAATTTAAATATTTAAAATATCCCATCATAATCGATACGTTACCTGAATTATACCTCCAAATCAATAAATACTATCAAATGCAGGTAATATATCGTCTGCCTTATGATGCAAACGTAATAGGTAAATTTTCGGAAGAAGCTCAATATTTCCTCAGTCGTAATGGTTTATTATTCTTAAGTTGGCAAACTGAAAGATTTGGTAATTTTCGGAAGTGAAAGAGA